GCTGAACCAATTTTTTTCCCCGCCATGTTCTGTGTTTTTTGTGAAACTAGCTGGCAACCCTACATAGAGGACGCCATTTTGCTCTCCAAAACGGCCTCCGCCACTCAGCGCAGCCTCGTCCACAGGGTGCGAGGCGAGGTCCGGTGGCGAGGAGGACGCCATTTTGTAGAACAAAATGGCATCCTGTGGGCATCGTGTGAGGAAACAACCGTGCGAGGTGACATTGAGTGGCGCAAACCAGGCACCACCCGCTAACACAGATATCCACGTTCTCTATCCCTGAGCCACCACATCCCTGGCTCTGGAGATGGATATCCGCAGATCCTTTTTTTCCTTCAGATCCCAGTTTTGGATCCACGCAGGCTCTCAATACAGATTTCCCTTGCTCCTCCTTCAGTATGTACATGGCAAAACTTGGCTCTGTCTCGATTCAGCACCACAGCCACCAAAACAGACCGAAAAGAAAGACTCACGGGCTGTCGAAATCAGACCCATTCACCCACTTCCACTGCTTCCCCTCCTGCTCTTTCCAGAGGCCGATCCAATGCTCGGAGATGCCTTTGTATCGCATCATGAAAGCCTGGAACCGAGAGAAAGGACAGAGTTTGATTCCACATTGGCTGCTCACAGGGATGGAGACTCCACAACCCTCCTTGGCAATTTATTTCAGTGTTTCACCACACTGACAGGCTGGAGGTTTTTCCTAATGTCCAACCTCAATCTCCCTTGCTGCAGTTTCAGCCCATTGCTTCTTGTCCTGTCCTCAGAGGAGAAGAATTTTTCTCCCTCCTCCTCATCACACTCCTTAGGCATGGGAAAACTGCCAACATGTCCCCTTTCAGTCTCCATCCCAGGTGCCCACACGGGTCTACGGAATGGCGTCTCCCATTTCCCCGGGTAGCAGAGCATCTGCCATTCATGAAGGACGCCAGGTGGTTCTTTCTCTCTCCCATGGGAGGGCGGCCTTGTGTGCAGGTGTCAGTAGAGCGATTTGTTTCAGTGGGGTTTGTTATTGTGTGTGTGTGCAGTCAGGGGCTGTGAGGGCTCAGATCCACTGTGGGCCATCACAGTGTGGAAAGCGTGGTCCCCTCACCCGTGGGTTACACTGATACCCGAGCATGCAGGCCACAGACGTGCACCTTGCTCGTGGAGCAGCAGGTGGGGAGGGTCTGGACGGTCCTGAGCTCCCAGGCGAGTCCACTTGGCAGTCTAGGCCCAGGCACCATGGAAACTCCAGCTCCCTCTCCGAGAGGCCTTGCTCTTAAATGGCGCCTGAGGAGCACAGATGCCAACCAGGGTCCTCATCCTGCAGCTTCAGGCTCTTTTAGACACCTGGGGCCAAAGCCCCGGAGTCCTTTGCAGACCTTGGCCATCACTCTGGCAAAGCCCCTGTCACCAACAGACTCTGCGTCTGTCTGTCTTCTCACCAGCTGCTGCTCGCTGTCAATCGCAGCCAGCGACGCGCCGAACACAGAGCAGTTCGTCCGGCTGTCGGAGGAGAAGAATTTTTCTCCCTCCTCCTCATCACACTCCTTAGGCATGGGAAAACTGCCAACATGTCCCCTTTCAGTCTCCATCCCAGGTGCCCACACGGGTCTACGGAATGGCGTCTCCGCCATTCATGAAGGACATGAGGCGATTCACATGTTACACGAGAGTCCTTCTCTCTCACACAGGGAGGGGGGGGCTTGTGTGTGGGTGTCAGTGGAGAGGTTTGTTTCGGTGGGGTTTGTTATTGGAGGTGTCCACACTGCGTGTGTGTGTGCAGTCAGGGGCTGTGAGGGCTCAGATCCACTGTGGGCCATCACAGTGTGGAAAGCGTGGTCCCCTCACCCGTGGGTTACACTGATACCCGAGCATGCAGGCCACAGACGTGCACCTTGCTCGTGGAGCAGCAGGTGGGGAGGGTCTGGACGGTCCTGAGCTCCCAGGCGAGTCCACTCAGCAGTCTAGGCCCAGGCACCATGGAAACTCCAGCTCCCTCTCCGAGAGGCCTTGCTCTTAAATGGCGCCTGAGGAGCACAGATGCCAACCAGAGTCCTCATCCTGCAGCTTCAGGCTCTTTTAGACACCTGGGGCCAAAGCCCCGGAGTCCTTTGCAGACCTTGGCCATCACTCTGGCAAAGCCCCTGTCACCAACAGACTCTGCGTCTGTCTGTCTTCTCACCAGCTGCTGCTCGCTGTCAATCGCAGCCAGCGACGCGCCGAACACAGAGCAGTTCGTCCGGCTGTCGTTCCAGCTCAGTTCAGCCTCGGAGAAATAGTAGCACTTCCCTTGGTATCCGAGCCAGCCGTCCGGGCACCAGGGCATGAACCGGGGCAAGGCTTTAGATACTAGCACTGAAAGAGAGAGAGAAAAACACACAGTTCAGAGCTCATAATCCTCTTCCCGCCCCCACGCAAATGACCCCCACTCCAAGACTTTGGCGAGTGGTCGAGGGCCGCGCTCTTCTGTGGAGGCAGTGCAGGGTGTGGGATGGACGTTGAGGGCAGAACAGAGCTTGGGGTGGGGGACGGCGCCTCTCCCCCCCTGCCCCTGGCTCACAGTGGTC